TATATATATATATATATATATATATATATATATATATAAATTCCGGGGAACTGAAAATACTGTAACGCCCAAGGGCCTCAACAATGAGTATAAACGTGCCATCGCCTTCGGCGTTGCAAACTATTCAATGTTTATTTTAAAGACCGCACATAGAGCTACGTGTACGTGGCACGGATATATGCAAAAGTAAACATGTGTACATTTACGAACCGCCGCCGCCGCTGCCGATCTAATAAGTGGGCCGGGCGAGAATGTGTCGTGTCGGATTCGCGCGCGCCGTGAAATGTCGTGCACGCAATCGCACGCGGACTCAACGAGAGCTCGGTCCCGCATGAGTGTGGCGAACGATACTGCAATTGCATACGGGGATTAGCATAAAGCTCGTAGCGAATCGGGCCCTACTGCCCTACATAACGCGGGATAGCCGAGCTTGTATTTCTGCGTCGCGTCGCGTCGCGCGCGCAAAAAGGGGAGAAAAAACGCAACTGTGCGTGAATGGCGTAACGATATCTTCGTGCGACGAGCCAATTACGTTATGTATACATGCACGAAATGCGCGAAAAAAGAATGATGCGTGTTCGATCGCGCGTCCCGGAATACTCAACGATTCCACGCGTAGATGTGTTGTCACGTCACCACGTAGAAAATCCCAGATAAATCTCGTTATCGAGTTTCTTCTTCGATTTAAGGCGTTTGTGAATCGGAAAAAAGAGAGAATAGGAGAAATTTAACAAAGCGATTATGAACTGTCTCGTGCAGCAATGGCGTTAACGCCTAATTGTACAAAAGATACTTCACCGCTTCGCGTGTTCGGCAGATAATCAGATAAAGAATTTGTGCAGTTGAGTAAGCGTTAATTAAAATGCATTTTTACGGTAAAAAATATTTTGCACGATAAAAAAAAAGATTTTGTATTTACGTTGAAATTCATCAGTGTGGAAACTTGCGTGTTAAATTTCTCACATACCCGTGTGTTAATTCAATATATTGCCGTTTTATGATTCTTCTGAGCTTGTTGAGTTCATATTTTTACCGTTTCTGAGGGTTAAAATAACAGAATTTATGTAAATGTACGAATTTTTGATACATATTTCTCTTTTGTGTGAAATGATAAGTTGTGTTATTTGTCAAATGAATAAATCGACACACGTGAAGTGTGTTAAATTTGACGCAAAATTATTTACAATGTAAAAATTCTTTGTCACGGGAAAAAGTATGATTTGCTGAAGCATCGAGAACGACGCTGCGCGTTATCGCAAGCATTCATTCTTCGGCGAAATGCGAATTTTATATTCTCAAAGAGAAAATATTTTTATCGGGCACGCGACAGAGGACGCGCGGTGAGAAACGAGAGAGACTGAATTGTAAAAGTCGCACTCTCGCGAATTGAGGGATATTAAATGCCGGACTGTGTCGTACAATTCTACTGTCACAGGTATTAATACCTGCCAACGCTGCGGCCTATCTGGGTATCGGTGCAGTACGTTTCCAGCGGTCGTGTTAAGGTCTCCACTTGCGAACTGTGCAAAGTCGATCGTGCGCTTATTAGCGGCATGGCGGTCATTAAGTACGTAATGCACGACGTGGAACTTTGCGCTACTTCGGCGGCGCGTGTATGCGACATCGATTTTAATCGATGACGCGAGCATAGAAGGAGCATAATTAAAATGCAGTTGAGGCGACGAGTGTGCGAGTCGCAAGGTCGCCGCGATTTACTTGGCGAGATCGCGCCGAAAAGCAAGGTCAAACCACTTTCTTCTCCTCTCCTTTTTTCTGTTTTCTTTTTTTTTTGTCTCTTTCGCCGGCAAATGGCGTTCGCCTCGTCGCGCAGAATGAAAATTTTCGCCGAGCTCTCGCCGGTAATTAAAAAATACGAAGAAAACGAGGAGCACAAGCGAGCGCTGAAACCGTAGTGGCGAAGCCGCAAGCTTCTACGGAGAAAAAGCCGCTTCGTGAACTTAATTCCCGACGAACGACGACGACCACGACGCCGACGACATTCTGCAATAATAAACGACGCATGGTGGAAAGTCGCAGAGCTTGTGGATACTCGCTATGCGCATTCGCGCGCGTAAAGCGCGTGAAGGGAGATACGTGGCTGGTGGATTTAATTTTCTCGAGCATACGAAATACGTCGAAATTTTCGCCAATCTCCTTGCAACCGCTATTACACCACGGTTGCTTCTGAGTTGCGCGACAAATTTCCGTACATCAAATTTGCATAATTAGCGAGACGTTCAGAAATGCGTGCATAATATCCTGAGGAGAGAACATCCAAAGTTGTGAGAGTCGCAAGACCTGCTTCCCCCTCCCCCTCCGCGCGTGCTCACATACAGAGATTGGTTTCTCCGGATTTAATAAATTTTGTCGAATTCGAAGGAATTAATATCCGTTGTGCGTGGAGAAAATATTGTGTTAAAAATTATGAACATTTGTAATAATGATGATCTTGGATTTGCAGAATGATGACTGAAATAGCTATATAAAAATGTTTCGCTTTCGGCTACAAACTTACTACAAACTTATGTGAATATTTTTTGTATAAACCGACTATAAAGATTGTCAAATTTACTGTTTTTATAGTAATTTCCACTGCAACATTTATAACGCAGCACGTATAGCTTTGCAAAAAACATTGCAAAGAGAAATAATTTTTACTAAGACATTTTCTCCTCCTGGAGTAAATAAATTTTTCATTCGACAATTAGGATTGATTGGATCTTCAAGTAATTTTGTTTGGTTCAGAAAAGAAAATTATTTTACTTGATTTTCTCATTTTATTAAAAAGGCTCGATAATCCTGCTTAAAAAAACGTGATATTTTCTTTTCCATATTACTGACAATCTGTTCCCTTCCCTGATTTTCCACCCAAATATCCCGTCATTTGATTCAATGTGAAACAAAATTTAAGGTATAACCAAACAAAATATATTATTTCGTAGAAAATCAATTTTATTTTCTTTAAGTAATCACATTTTGTCCATCGAAAGCCATGATTTTATTTAATGAGATAAAAGATACTTAATATAAAATTGTGTTGTTTGAGTCGAACAAATTTCAGCGAAACAAATATGAACGCCAAGTCCAACGCGACCGTTCTCTCTGCGCAAAAGAACAAGATCTTTCAGCCGCTCTTGATTCTGGATAGAATCTCTCCGGACTGGCAGCATTTTTTACATTTTCTCCTTTTCTTTTGATGAGATTCGGATATTATCTTGTAAAATATCCCGCGTGTAATCTTCCACGGGGGAATTTAATTTTCCTCAGTTCTCCGAAAAACGTAAAAGAGGAAAGTGCATGTTGCGGCTCCCCTTACCACGCGTCTGGCTGTGCATGTCATAATGCCGGCATTAGCTCGCCGTTGTACAGCGCGATCGCGTCTAAAGTTATATATATATATATATATATATATATATATATATATATATATATATATGTATATTTATGTATAATATATATTTTGTAGGACGGGAATATGATCCCCGCGCAAAATGTTCTATCCGCGATGTTCTATCGGAGAGTCGCTTTTTATGGTTGCACACGCATGGCGGCCACACGTGTCCTCGCATCGGCGAGCGGATTATCGATTCGAGTGCCGGAAGAATCGAGCGGAATTCCGCATTAGTTGATTACATCGGACCTGCGTAGCTAAGTTGATCGCGCCGGACCTAGAGTATCGATGCGCGCTTCGACGAGAGAAGAAACGCGAACCCCGAGAGTTTCGCGAGACTTTTAAAAGGACCGCGCAAGGGTGAAGTGGGGGATAGTGGTTTGCCCGGCGAGCGAGCTTCGCTTTTTATTACGACACGGCTAATATTTGCGCATTAAAGCTCTGGGTGGGCGGACAGGCTTGCGGGGGGAGCACTTTTGCGAGATGCAGTTTGCCATACGGAACCGATACCGCAACAACTGTAACAAAGCAACAATGGCATCGGGTCGTTTCCGCTTCTTTTGCGCCCTGCGAGGCCCCACGCCAAACGCGACGGAAACGTAGTCATTAGAGTCTCGAAGAGATTTAATTCGCGTCTCTGCCTCTTTGTCCACTCTGCCCACGCCGCCGAGTTGCAATCATCCTCCGCACGCGAGCGCAGAGCGGAAATTCGCACGTTCCCCGTCGCGCAAATATCGTCGTAATTGGCCCGGTGCCGCGCGCGCCGCAGCAAAGTATTCTCACCAATATTAATCCCGGCCGCGCTCGCAATCAACTCGAGAGAGATGCGCTCATTAAAGTCGGCTCGTTAAAATCGTTTTCACGCCCCCGCTCGCGCCGCTGCTTGTGTTACTGCCGCAGTCGCAGTGAGCGCCGCGCTGAAACGTGTCGGCTCCTTTTTTCCGCTTAAAATTTTTTTTATGTATTTGGCGATCACCTCCCTCTTGACCGGGCGAAAAGTTCGTGAAAAAGGCTGAATTATGTATGGATTTCATCCGGAAGCGCGTGCACGACCTTTCTGGCTTGAGCGAGGTAACTCTGTCACTCACAAAGTTTATTCATCCAAAGAGGAATATTCCAAATTATACGAAAATTTAACATAACACTAGTCGCAGTAAAACACTTGCGTAGCTAAAGTTTTACGCGACATATCTGCGCTGTTTGTGAGAAATTTAATCGTATATCGCGACTTTTACACATGCGGCCTTATCATAAAAGTAACACTGATGGCCATTACTCTAATGTAACTTCGTAAAAAGTAATACTTCCCGAGTAAGAAGCTTACCATTGTATGTGTTACATATTAGGAAACACGCGGTATAGAAGAAAGAGTAATATCTATTACACCGCTTTTGTATAATGGTCAATTGTAAATCAGAAAACTACTTTGCAGTAGTATTGAATAAAAAGTGATAAGATAGTACTATAAAATTAGTTTCAAAATAACATTTATTATATGATTAGTGGAATAAATATATAAAAATGTAATTTTGTTCGATAAATAGTGAATTTACGAATTGCTCTCTCAATGTACCACTGAAAATATGCCCATTGGGCATATATTAAATATTGCGTGTAGTCGCCATGCTGATTTAATATATCTGACACGCTTTCAAAACCGTACATTTTTTTTCCTTAAAGCCCACCAAATCCTTTTTGTACTGCTCGGACGTTTTCGGATTATAGTGATGTAAATTAATGTCATATAAATTGACGATAGAAATAATTCTCTCGTTAATCTGGAATGAATTCTGCCTTAATAGAATTTTAATACGAAGTTCGATAACCATGATAGAAAGAAATCGATATAGGAATTAAAAAATCGCCACTGTGTAACGACAGAAACTCGAGAACAAGTTTCTCACGAAAGCCCGTAATCTCATCCTTTTCGCGAGTTTCTCGGCTCTCGTTTCTCCCCGTGCGAAACGGCAACCTCTGATCCCGGAATAATAAAGAGGGAAAGAACGAGATCTCGGGAGGAAGCACGCACTTCGACTTGTATATATCGATATATGTATAGTGCAGGGGAGATACACACCCTATAGTCGCGCGGATAAACGTCGTCGCCGCCGTCGTCATTCCCTACTCATTAACCCATTATTCGGGGAATATCGGTCCCACTATCTTGCACATTGTTCAGACAGACGATCGTTGGAATGACGTATAACGTCGTGCACGTGATAAAACACGGCCGCCATTTAGAGACACGCGATGTTAAATATCGTGTATCGTTCGCACGATATTTGATTCTCGTTTTTTCACGTTCTGCCTTTCGTATAAAATTGAACGAGGCTCGTCACGCGGGATATCCCGGTCCTGATTTCAACCTCATCCTGAATTTGCAATGCATTGCAATTTTCTCCTTGTAAAAAATGTCGAGGTAGATGCTGTATCATTTACCACAGTTTTTCCAATTTCCAGCGTTGCATGTCACTTGATAAGTCTAAGGGCCAATTTTTTCAACATCTTGGTAAGCTAATTAACAGTTAAATCATACATTTGTTCTTGTCTAATTTGAGGGGAAAACAAAGGCAAATTAACTATTTAACTGTTAGTTTGCAAGAGGTTGGAAAAATCTCGGATTAATAGGGAACGATTGACCTCATCTCCGTTTTCATGCTCATTATTTTAGCCGGGATTGCATTTGTTTGCAGGGGAAGTGCAACGATATCTGTTATTGTTGAGAACTTATAAGTACACTTCATCGACCACACGCGTGCGATATTTGGACGTATACTTGACGGGCTCGAATTGCAACAAAGCTTCATGGAGTTTTGTAGATTGTCTGATAATACCAAAGTGTAAAGTGTAAAGTGCTATTAGGCACATATCGTTCGCTATTACGAGGTTTATTAAAAAGAGGTGCTTTTTACGGAATGCACACCGGAAGGCATCACGTTGCGCTGGCGTAGCGGCGAAATAGGAAACTCTCACGTATCGATTCCGCGTGAAGTTTTTCTAAAACTGCACGTATTATCGACGAGGTTAACGTTCACTCATACTCCCTTAGATAGAGGGAAATTTTGACAAGATATAATTACTCCCCCCCCCCACCCCAGAAAAATTCTGTAGAAGCTGGAACTGGTTTCGTATCTGAAGGGAACATCAAAAGCGTCTCCATTAATTTGGAGTGAAATCTAATCCTCTTAAGGAACTTCTACGTCCATCTGATTCTCAGTACAAAAAGGAATCAAATTCAACCCTTTCGAAAAAATTCTCACTTATTGGCGGAATGATGTTTAAAAACAAGACACAGTTTAATTGGATGTAAAACACACAGCAAAATCAGAGTCCCAGGCGGGAAGAAAAGTTTGGTTGAATTAACTAAATGTTCGGTGAAATATGAACGAGCCAGAAATGTCGTTTGAAATTAGCAGAATTCCGTTCAAGTTAACAAGATCTTTGGTTAACCAGAATTAAGAAATCATGTTGACTTGAACAGAATTCTGGTAACTTTAACCGGAATTTCTGGGTTTGTTCATATCTCACCACACACACACACACACACACAGACACATTTATAGTCAATCCAACTAAACTTTCTTTTCTTCCGTGTATAAGTCTGCGAACCGCGAGTCTCTCCTCTCGAATGAAAGATGTATCGTCCCTCTCAACGTGTGTCTGTGCAAAGACTGACAAAACATAGAGGCATATGTTAAAGAAGGTCGAGTCGGTGGCCGCGATCTCGGATACTCACATACGGTGGTGTGCAGTAGATGGCTTGACACCACATCGGCTCGGAATGATAGCAGACGCAGAGACTGCAGACCGAAGGTCCCGGAACATAGAGGAGGCCGTGTTTGACAGTGCCGCCCTGAAAGTCTGTGCAGTTCTCTTCCAGGGCGCCTGAAACAATTTCCCATGTCGCTGATCGAAATTGGCGGTGGTGCAGTAACCCGGTTTCCCCGCGACCATACGCCGCACACGTACGTGTGTACACACATGTGCTCACAAACAAAGTCGCACCGCATGGCATGTACACGCGCACACATGCACACGCACGCACACACCGTCGTCCGGGGCTCTATTTAAGTACTGGGACCGTCAATAATTCAGAAGCGACACATCGCGCTAAGTCTGCCCCCTCCGGCTCAACCCTGAGTGTCACTTACAGAACTTTCCAGTGTTCAAGCAGTTGTTAACCTTCGTGCTCTTCTAAAAGGGATTACTTAATAGGCTTAGTTAAAGAAGACTCGGCGCGGTTACATCATTGAGAAACCAGTGCGGCGACAAGGGTGTAAAGATGGATTAGAAATTAATACTCGAGAAAGTTTATAAATAGAAAAGCCGAGAACGCGCGTTCTAGAGATTTAATCCGAATGGCGTGCACAGTACACATATGCGCGCGACAAATGCCTAGAGGATATCGCTGGAAACGCGCTTATAAGAGATGTTCCCAATTTCTCGCCCTTCTCGGCTAATTTCACCCTTCGGTGAACACACAGATCGACTTTCCGCACTCTAACCGACATGAACGCGCATCGATATTTTATGTTACGTGTTCTTTACGTCAAGCCTCACCTGTTCTCGCGGGGAGGAACAAGAGGGTGGACAGGCAAAACGTCCACGCGAGCGTCTTGATAGAGGGCTTCTTCATGGTCCACGATGGTTAATCCAGAAAAAAAGTGGGGCGTGCCTTTCTCGTATTGACAGGTAGCCTCTCTTGGAGTGGTTGTAGAACGCCTCGGCTATACCAGCAACCTCCGTCCGTGCACTGGCGGCAGGAACACGTTGCCTGCGTGAAAGAATCAGGATACATTTGTCATCGTTATATAAAGCACGCGTGGGCCACCGACTGATGGATTGTAATGCGCGTGATAATTGTCACGTGGCCTTAAAGGCTGATTAAGCCGTGGAATTCCTGATGTGCGTCGCACATCCCGAGCGGAACTGGAGATTTGTAAGAAACGCGGAATCACTTGATGGACGTCGACGGCCGGAGGATGGTTACGGTTACGGCGGCGCGTAAACAGCGTGGGTCGTGTTCAGAATACCCCGTTTCCCTCGAACGAGTTGATTTCGTTAAAGAGATGTTGAAAATCATTAGAGGATGCAGACTTCTTTTGCCCAGCTTGTGTGTCCTCACGCTTTTTTCCAATTTTTTCCAATTTTAACTTTTTTTTACCGACTGCAATTTCTCCGTTCGTGCCAAATGTCATATTGTATAATCTTCCATACGTTATTATACGATCAGAACAAGATACAGATACTGATCTCGTTAAAGATCACGTATATTGGAAATAACACAAAAGGATCCAATTCTATAAATTTCATCGCGTTTCGTTAATTTTCTTCCGTTTATTACTGTCCAAATATCAAAATATAATCTTTTCCATATTATTCCTTTTTTTACATATTCTTTTGTATTTTGCTTTCATGCAATTAAAACCACACACGGAAATCACATATCTGCTTAGCACTTATTTGCATTTATAACATAAATAAACAATAAAACGCACGATGCATTTGTAAGCCGATAAAATGCATATTGCGACGGCTAATGAGTAAATGTCGCGAATTCGGAAATTATAATTTTAATGAAAGCCCGTGCGCGTCTGCATCTACAGGAGGGCTCTCAATAAATGAGTTTGCAACTTTCCAATTGCTATTCATCAGCCGGGATCCCCAGATACGTGTACGGAGTTTCATTAAAATCCGGAATTTCCGAGCTTTTCCCGAAGTGGAGCTCCGCACATTCAACTTTTTGTTAACAAGCTTTTTGTCACTCGTCGGAACTACAACAACTCCAAGCCCAAGTTCGACGATATAGTCCGTGGTCTTGACGCAACGCAAACTCGTCTGCCAAGTGTTATTTGCGGCGAGGGAACGTGTGGGAGAGACTTTTGAAACAGCCGATGTCGCGCCCGGACCTGTTCGTCGTGCCAGAAATTGAGACAGGCGTAATTCTTTTTTTCTGATGCCGCAGTTATGCGGAAATAATTCCTGTGTTTGCGCTCGCGACGATAAGAGCGCGAACGCGATCGATGAGACCGCTTGGTTTCGCACGCGGCTGCGGAAAACGCGACTCGCCGCGGTGACACGCTTCATGCGAAACCTCGCGAGGGATGCGTCGGCGTCGCCGGCGCACAGGAACCGCGGAGGTGCGTTTCGTCGTTAGCCAATGGATAAGGTCACGTGAAGCGTATAGAGTCTTCACGAATCGATCACCAACATATATTCGAAGCATTTGCGCGCCCTCAGAACACGTGTATATATGTGTATGCGCAAACTTTGTTCTTTCTGTACACGAGCCGTACACGCCACGTCGCCCGCATTGTTACAGTCATCGCTCTACGTGGCTCCACTTGTCACCGAGATTTTCCTTCATCGCGTAGAAATTATAATGCAACGTATATAGGATAAACCGCAATCCGTCATGTGTCACTTCGCGAACTTAGCTTAGAAGATTATCGCGCAAGTGTCACATGTCTGTAAATAAATTGTTCTCTAACGTTTAAAATACGTTCGTTCTGATGATAAATATTGAGCCGTGTGTCGCCGTTCTCTTAAGCCAATTTTCCCCGTATTTTTAATCGCGCTGAGTGCCATCATGATAGCGTTAGTAGCGCGAGAGAAAAAGTTTCGACAATCATGCTTCCTACAGAGTCCTTTTTAACGCGCCACGGTTTTGCACATTCACATGTAAACTTGCCTCCTGAAAGCTTTCTCGTTCCGCAAAGTTGATATAACTCATGGATAAAGCTCTTTCGCCTTAGAACTAAGGCGGTAAAGTGCGCCGGGCACTGACGGGATTAGATTTTGACGCGCTGCGAAACTTTTCGCCTAACTGAGATGTATCAGCACAGACAAAAATTCAATTTTTCCAGTTTCTTGCGTCAAGTAAATAACGTAGCAAGTAACTCCACTTTTGTCGATAAATTACTCTCTTCCGCAATTCCGCGACACATCTTGGAAATAGATAAGATAAATTTGTGCAGAAAGCAAATTGTGCGGTCAAGGTTCAGAGAAATATCGCTCGTCAATCTCGCCGTGTTACAATTTCTTGTCATCTTGAATATTGCAGTTTATCAAGTCGTGTTTTGTATTTCAAGCTTCGTCTTCTATCGACATATAAATGCGCGCTGCAGCGCATCGAAAAAAGGAATAAAATTGGAATTTAGCGGACAGAATAAATTATTTCATAAAAATGAAACATCTGACTTTTAAAATCGCTAGACAGCGACGGATGCGTGGCGAATTTGTACGAATGACTGACAATGAATAGTGACAAATACGCAATAAATTACAGACTGAGGGATTTTCAATCGATAACGTGTACATAATCCATCAACCGCCCATCTCTACTGTATAATACAAACGGGACAACCGAATTGCGTGACATGAATCTGCATTCGCACGTTATATGGATAATCGAGATTGCATTACGCTGTCGCAATCGCGTGTCCGAGCGTTTTGTCAGATGACTCCTTCGGCGTCTACATTATTTTCTGTATGTAGCAAATATGGAATATAGAAAAAACAACCCCATTATAATCGACAATACGCAGGATTTATTTATAACCGCGCGTGAGTTGGTTTGATAAAAAAATAGCGGCATTAAAATTTATGATTGCCGCGGAATGCGAATAACTCGCTACGACTGCAGAGGCGGGATTTCGCACGACCTATATAGGGTGGACCGAAATCTACGACGACGAACGGAGCGGCGTGAGAATCGAGTGAAACGACGAAAACACCAAAATTTGTCTCTTGAACTTCATTGATGTTTCAACTGAAGCCGCTTCAATTGTTAAATAGTTTTCTATTCGCAGGCACGATAATGTCAGTCTCCTACGCCTCTTCATCGACAGTGGAGCAGACAAAAGACATGATCCTACGTCGGGCGTCATAAACGTCCTTTTGTTCAACGGGGTAATTTTTCAAATGCACGCGTCACGTCCAGAATTAGCCGCGTATCGCGACTATTCGCTATCAAAAGACGAACAACGCGTGCGCGCACACGGACGCAAAGGGGCGCGAAACATTAACTCACGACAGTCATCGTTGGACGGATAAAGCATGATAATTGGAAAGACAAATTGGAGAGACAATTTGCCTCCCCGTGATTTGCTGCCCGAATCACGGCAGGAGATGAGGTGAGGAAAGGAAAGGGTGCAACGGTGCAAAAGGGAACACGAGGCTCCGCGGGGACCAGAGGGGCAAGAACGATGTCAACGACACGCGCTCGTATCCGTCACGGAATCGCGCCGCGGCTCTAAGCTGCTCGTCGATCGGCGCGGCGCGGGGAGATGACGTCAGCCCCCGGCGAGCTTGTAATCAGTCCGCAGCTGATACGGGGGTACCAGCTTGTGGGGTTCACCATGCAACGGGTGGCCGTTCAGTATCCAGGCCGGCCGGAAATAAATCCGCATAGTAGTGCATGCGCTGCGCGTGGAAAAGGAAGAAGGGAGGGAGTGAGTCTGCGTTACCTTCGTGCTGCATCGCGCCTGCCGATCGCCGCCTCACATCGTCCCTCGTGCGTCGTCCCGCCGCATGCACATGTGTTCCCTCGGTCGGCCGTCGGGGGGTTGTTGAGGAAGGGTGTGCTCGCGATTTCAAGCGAGGCACGCCGAGATACTGATCCAAGTCGCTGTGATCTCTACTTTCTCGGGGGGCGGGGGAAGGGAAACTGAGGAATCGAAACTGAGATCGGCCGGTTGCGACGGGATCGGCAGACGAAAATTGACAGAAAGAGGCAGAGAGAAGGGTTGATCGCGGATGCACCGGCTGCACCGTGCTCGTATATATGCGTGTATACGTATGTATGTGTCACGATACCGAACAAGCCCGTAGAGAGGCGCAACGTGGTGCAGCGGCTGACAGCGGCACCGACCGACTGACTGAACCTCTCCTGTCGCAGTGTGAGCGAGCGCGGCAGCCGCGCTCGCTTCCTCGCGCGGGTCGATCGAACATGTTCCGCGCACCGCGCCTCTCCCTCGCTCTTTCTCAGTCTATCTATCCGTCTGTCTCGCCTCCTCTTTCCCTCTCCTTCTCTCGTCAGGTGACGAAGCCACCCCCGTGGAAGCGCACAACGCATCTTTCGTCGCTGTCGCCGTCGCCGTTGCCGCCGCCTTCGGCGCGACGACGCTGCCGCCCGCGAAAAAGCGCATTCGTTGCAGTCGTCGTCGCGCGAAACTTTCACGCTGGCCTCGCATCGTTGTTTGCGAACATTTGCAGTAACGAAGTGGATGGGGCTATTTTGAAGGACACAACTACCGAGACTGTAGTGCGTACAGCGGATTGGCGGCCAGTTGGCAGCCGGGAAAGTGTCAAAACAAAAGTTTCGATCGATAAAACGTATCTACACCTTTAGTGTAGAATTAAAAAAGGACGTTGGAACAAAGTTTCTTGGAGTTTTTAGGTTATCCGCTTCTCGAGTGCATGCATTTCATTTCTCTATGTTTCATTTTTCAGCACCTACGTTTGACTTAATTAAACACTGCTCTGAGTCTGCTCTGAGCGAAGAGGGATTCTTCTTATGTAATGTATAAAATTAATGTTGTTCAAGAGTCTTCAAATCAGTGGAATCAAGATCTTGCGTTAATTTCCACGTCCATTTAGACTTTTTTCGAAGGACGCTTTCATTGTATTTGATTACATGATCATTTTTTGGTCTGTGTATGCTCTGTGAAAGATATATATTTGAAAAATATTTTGAGTCAGTCAAAAAGTTAAATAGGATCTTCGATCAGTGAACGGACCATCTTTTGCAATAAGGATAGACGAATGTTAATAGAATGTTGACTATCATGAGCAACAACAGCGATTACTTGACAAATATGTTTTTGCATTCAATGCAAAAATATATCTGGATTGAGTCAGATTTGCTGAGAAAATTCCGACGAATTTTTTGATTGATTCAATATATATATTCTTCGTGTATAATCTTGTAATTCCATGTTTCGTTCTCGATTAAGCGCACACCAGTGCTGAACGCGCAGCGTGGTGCTATTAACTGCGGCGGTCGCGTGACCAATCTACGTTATCAGTTGCGTCGATTAGAGGCGCGTTTCGATTTTCCCAAACTGTGACGGAGACCGCGATACCGAAATTGTGTTAATACTCGCGATAGCGAAATAGGAAATGTACAGCAGAACGCAGCATCGACCGCTGGAATGTCGGTTGGGCAAAAGAGATTGGAGGAATTTTATCGGAGAAAGAATTTTATCGGAACAAATCAAACTTTTGATTGAGGTTTCACGAAGCGACTGAGTTTCTGCATGTCTTATTTCGCATAAATATAGTCGTTCTCAACATTCACCATGCAAAATGTGTCGAACGTTGCTCTTCTAATCAGCGAATTCTTACCGATGGGATTCCACGAGTGAATTCCACGAGTTAAAAGTCGAGGTGCACGGAAATTCAACGAAAATTCAAACAAAGGTTCTGCGTGAGAATTCAGGGAGAATCGTCAAATTTTGAAGAAACGATGCAGATGCACCCCGGATGCGAGAACGAAAGATACTGCGGGACATTGTCGATCTATATCGCGGGCTTTATCGGATGGAATCTCGCCAATTCGATGGGGGATGCGCACAAATATTAGGGATCTGCGCGATTGGCTTCGGGAGCAAGCCCCGAGTGTGCTCGAGATATCTGATCATCTTAACCCAGAATCACCGGGACCAATTTATCGATAATTTCGAATTATTCTGTAGAGTGGAGAAACAATTTATTCGCAAACGACGTCGGGAGAGGATGATTTTACAACCAAGTAATTCCCTAGAAAGTCATTGCTGGAGCAGAGCGCGAATGTGGAGAGCTTTAAGTAATGTCATTAATAATTCATCCTCACTTGACGTATAATAGATGGATTGCTACAAGAAGAAGAGTTTTCCAAAATCTCCGCGGTACTCTGGCGACATTTTTCCGCGATCTCACGATGAACCAATGAGATTTCTCATACAAACTCTTATGCACATCCGATCAGCATATACTTATCTCGTTTCAATCCCTCAGCTCTGTCTTATCTTAGCCCTCTCCCTCTCTCCGACTACTACAGTCATCTTTACGCCCACAGTTTGCTGTATCCGCCTGACTGTCCGTCGTCTCTTGCGCGATTTCACTTCGTAAACACATTTATCACCACCTGACTGTGACCCACCCCCCTCGTTACCGCACTTTAAGTTTGGTTGCACCTCGCTGAGAACCGCCACGTCGCATCGACATTGTCATGGCAACGGTTTAGGATCGTGCGTGTTCTTTTCCAAACAAACGCCCCCCAGACCGCCGACCAACCGATCGGTAACAGTATACGTGGAAACCATCCACCGCGGAGGCTGCGTGGCTGGATTAATTAACGTCTATCTTTTTTTTAACGGTGGGAGTTGCCCAACCCCGACGTGACCATGAACGACTGCTTGTCGTTGAATGCGACCGCCTGCCGCGTCGCTCAACTGGCGCGGGAAAAGGTGAGGGTGAACGCGGCGTTTTTGTTGGTGAGAGTAACTGTGAGTTACCGTGAGCTGGCCTGGAATTCGAGGGTTTTTCGGCAAATTGAATTTTCGTTAGCCTCCACACGAGAAGATAAATCTTGCACGCTCGTTTCTCATCCCCACGTCGCCGTTTGATCGCGAATCGCGCGTCGATTATCGTTTGAGCGTTCAAGGGAGCTTATTTGTCGAATATCTAGCCGTAGTTGCGCAAGAATGATCCAATCCACATATGAAGTATGAGAAAAATGGAGATGTAAATTTGATCGCAGTCGGAAGAGATCAAAGGGTTCTTCGAACAGTTCGAACAGTTCAAACAGTTAAGTATGGTCAATTTCCTTCTCTCCAAGAATACTCATTGACAAATTTAAAAAATGGGTAAAAAGGGCGCAAAAAAAGTAAAAAATGGCGCAACTAAAAAATAAAAGTTGTTTCTTAATTAATTTTTCAATAATAATTTCTACAGAAAACAAAAAATACCTAGCCTTATAGGCTTGTATCTCTTCTGTTTTATGTAAAAAGACTATGGACTTATTGTCAAAACAAAAACTCAAAATGCGAATTGTATCATTCTCACATAACTATGGCCATTTAAGGATGAAGAGGAGAGAGGTTTATAAATCGTTGGTCGGGACGTTGACATTTGAGTATCGTATTTTTGGCCCGGATATATATTTAACGTTCTCTCCCGTTCAATATAACAGTCGAGACCGTCGCTAAATCGTGATATTCGCAATTCATCTAATTATTACGCCGAGCGTTGAATGTAGACCGAATCGATCGCTCTCCCAATTTCACCGGCATACTCGTCGCTACGAATTCCATCTGGAAAAATGTTGTTCTCTTCACGGTTCGCGTATCACATACGTGTGACAAAGAAAATCCGATAATACAGACATATATTTCACCTGTGATGTTTAGGTACATACATGTGACACGGTTCTTTCCTCCTTTTTTTTCTCTTTTTCGAAACGGTTATTTATGTTTTACTGGGAATTTGATAAAAATAACTCGGCCGGTTATTGAACTCGCCGTATCGATTATTGACGAGTGCTTAAAGCGGAACAGTAACAGACGACGGCAAGATGAATTTAAACTTGAATTAACAGATTCGCGCTGATAACCGTCGTCGCTGATCTCACTATTCGCACGTCCAATACGAGCACGCGTTGGAATCATTTTTAGTCTGACGACACTGTGCGCGCGCAATGTAAAATTTAGAAGAGAGAATGAAATTGTACAAATTAATAACGTGCATGTATTAACAATCAGGAAGAGAAACGTGCCCTGGAGCGGCGGCGTCACCTTGTTTACCTGATCGCTGCCTTCTTACGGGAGCAAGGGTGAGCAGTTTATATTTGCGCTTAAAATAATCACCACGACGTTTGGCATTCTCGTGATCGTTATTCGCACAAGTCTTCGCACGTTCGTTCTTAATTGAGATATTCTGTATGACAAGAACAAGTCCATCATTCATCGTATAAGCACAGACTGTTGATACATATATATTTCACACTTATTGGGTCAGCCTAAAAGTTCTGTTCGGTCCTTTGTTAGTAAACCGAGTGACATTTGACTGTTGCGTTCAATAGGAACAAATTATTTATCAGCCAAGTAATAACCATCTATTGTGTGATCCTTTGTCAATGCATAATAATCATATATTGGCATTATTGCTTGTATTATATCTATGTGAGAAGTTACTTCTTGAAAATGGAGTTAAATGGTTTTAGACTAACTCGATTGATTACTGTGATCTTCAAGGAAACATTTTTACAATAAAACTCATCTACTGAAGTAGCTTAATATTGAGCAAAGTTCTGTCATATAGATTCATGTATCTCAATAATTCACAACTCGTTTCTTTTAACTTTAAATATCTTCTTTTTAAGAAATTACTTTTTGTTCGTATAAAATGCTTCAATTAGTTTCCTCCGACTGCAATTTCGCAACTCTCGAGTGGCTTTACCGATTTTTCTTGCTCACGTAGACTTACTCTCAAAATCTTTTGCGGTAAAATTTCACTCGAGAAGTAGAGTAATAGCCGAGTCGTTCGAATGATTTCTCTCATGTAGAGTGAATTCTTCATTCTAAATCACCGAGTAAACATTTTCACTCGAAACAGAAGAGCCTGATGCGCTCCACTGTCAGAGGAACATGTTCACTCTAACAGACTAGAATATTCGCTTATATGGAGTCAGAATTCACTTGAAGATTGAATGAAACGTTCACTCTTGCAGCGCAAGATATATCTTTTCATTGTCGTGTCGAATGAAGATACTGCTACTTTTCACATCTTAAGTAAGATTTCGCACTCTAAGGAATTTAGAGTATTTCGATATAAAAAAAAAAGTACAAAAATGTGAGAACGATTTGAAAAAATAAGTCGCGCGTAAAACTGCACAAGTAGTCACGTAGCGAGATCCGGGGTACAAGTTCGTTATGTTCAATGTTTCTCGTAGATATTCCAATACCGCGGAGAGCCTCTTGAAGGAAGCACAGCTCTCCCGAGACGTTCACGTATGCGATAATATCGATCTGGAGACTATCATTCTCGAGTACGCCGATTATTATTACGCCAAGTACAACAGATACCCCAAGTTCTGCAAGAAGATGGAAGCGGCCGGGAACGTCTCGCAAAATACGTATGGAATATAGCTCATTATATTCGTGCGAGTGTAACGTAGGTCATGCGGAATATCGGAAACCACCGACCATCCCCCGGTCGGGTGTAATAGAGCTTTGAGGGTTTATCGTGTGTGGTGCACGAAGTGGCCCACGCTTATGAACGCCCGAAGGACGTATTCGGGATATTCGGGCGGTGACCGTATAACGGAAAAATATGCTGTATACGATAGCGGATATGTTAATATAACATGACGCGGGGTATGCTGATATATGTGTCGCGCGCGGGATATTTGTGAATTCAGCTCTTTTATAAAAAGCCTGGTCTTTTTATAAAGAGCATCCGCGACGTAAAAGGTGTTGTTTTATAAAAAAGTCAAGTCTTTTTATAAAATAGCTGAATTTATAAAAAGCCTGCGGCGCGTATATATTAGATGTGTGTGTGTGTGTGTATGTGAGTGAGTGAGTGAGTGAGTAAATGTATGTGTTAGTGGCTTCCGACCGCAGCGGACGTTAAATTGCAATCTCTTCCGTAGCTGTGGCAAAAAGGAGAGAATCTCGAAGGTTTTTAATTTGAGACAAGAGGACGGCAGATTCGTCGGCGACGAGAGTAACAATATCGGTAAGAGCAGGATCGCGCTGAGGCACGGCGGTGTCATCGCGCCATCAAATGAATTGAATCTCGGTATCACGGTGACGCCGATTTTCCCGGTGGAGAGCGGCGATCGAACAGTGGCAGCGGCGGTGGTGCAGCCGATACCGACATCTGATGAAACGTTCGCCGATAATAACGAGAGGATACTGAAACCCATCGGCGATCTCTACCGACCTGGCTCCGAGCTGAAGGAGATCGCCGACGTTATATCGCGGGTAAAATACGATCGCGTTCGTAGTGTTTGTCTTCGAACCTGTCGCACGGCGATCCGGAAAGACGGGAACAAATTGGCGAGGATTTAATAGACCGAGAAACGAAAAGAGAAGCATGTGAATTTTGTCGATTCGAGACGACTCGCTGAAATGGGAATTATTTATGTGCTGAGTGACTTCAAATTCTCGGCCGTATTATCGTTCGTTCATTTTATCATCTGACTTTTCTGAATGTGCTTTGAAGAGAGAGAAAGAGAGACATGATTGATTTTTGTCTTAACTTTCTAGCCGTGCTCTGAGTCTTTTTGACCCAGAATAGTTTCAAAGTTCACACAGTTTTTGTAATATTACAATTTTTGTAGTACAAATGTGATACTTCGCGACTTTTTCGCGATTTTCGCGAGTTATTTTAAAAAAAGTCAGTACATATTGTACTAAATTACTTTATATAATGCTAAAATAAAAGATATAAAAAATACATATATGTCAATTAAATAGTGAGTTCTCACACACCATTGGGTTTATTTAGACCCTGAACATGGTCAAAGTATACCTGAAACGAACACGGTTAGAAGGTTAAAGCAATGGCATGATGAGTCATCGAATAATTGTCGTATTTTTCTTTTCAACATGTAGAAATCTGATTATTAAGACAAAAAACTCGGTTATTATATAGTTGATGTTTGTAAGTAAAGGTGCGAGTAAAGGTGACATGAAATTGGACGAAATAATTTGTAGGAGATCGTGCAACAAAACTTAAACGTTCACTGGGACGATGTAAAGGGACTGAACTTTTGTAAAGAGTTACTAAAGGAGGCTATAGTCTATCCCATGAAGTATCCGAGTTTGTTCAGTGGGAAACTCGGCGCTTGCAAGGGCGTCTTATTGTACGGCCCACCGGGAACCGGTATGTAATCGCAAATTCGTTTATCGACGAAGGTGGCAAATTAACGAGGGGATCACCGAATGTAGGTAAGACGATGCTCGCGAAAGCCGTCGCTACCGAGTGCCAATCGACCTTTTTCAACATCACCTCAAGTTCCGTCATCAGCAAGTGGAGAGGCGATTCCGAAAAATATATTCGCGTAAGTCAGTCTTGCACGCTAATTATTTTCCATTCGGTGCTGTAAGTGTTTAACTTGCGCGAATCTCGAAAGAAATGGAACAAGGAAACAAAGGATAAATTTTCCTTTCTTTTTCATTTTTTTTTTATAATTAAAGAGAATCGCACGATGGAGAAATCATTTGAATTTAGGTGCTCACCGATCTCGCCAAACATTACGCGCCCACGATCATCTTTATCGATGAGATCGACTGGACAACCACGAAGAACACGGACCACGCTTCGTCAAGTTCGGAGCCAGCTAGGAGATTTCGAGCGGAACTTCTCGCCAGATTAGACGGGTTGTTGTCGATGGAATATATGAATGTGATATTGTTAGCAGCCACAAACGTTCCATGGTAAGTATAGAGTGCGCGCGATTATACAAAGATAACTCCTTCTATTATTGAGTTCACTTCGATATTTAAATTTATTTCGATACTGAATCTACGCTTAATTATTAAATTTGAGAAACTCGAAGGAAAAGTATATCGATGTAACGTTATATTTTCCAAGAAAAAACCATTTTCGAATTGCTTTTAATTATAATTTTAATCATAATTAATTTTTATACGAATTTTATTTTTATACGAATTATCGTCACGTATTCTTAGTTCCTCCGAAGGTCTGTCGTTTTTCAATTCCAAGCGAGTTTTACGTTATCCAGGAATATAGACGTCGCCTTGTTGAGACGTTTAGAGAAGCGTATCTTTGTGGATCTACCTGATCAGGACAGTCGACTAGAAATCTTACGTTTTTACGTGCATCGTGATCTGTACGAGACGCCAGAGATGTCGAAGCTCGTACGGGAAACCGCGGGCTATTCGTGTGCGGATCTGAAGCTGTTGTGCAAGGAGGCGTGGATGAATCAGTTGCGGCCCGTTTGGGCCAAGCTCGAGAACAAAACTCTCATGGTAAATGATATTCAAAACGACGGTCTGATTGATGAGATGAGTCACATCGTGCTCGCCAAGAATAGCGTGAAGCCGATTGCCAAGCACATGAGCGACCAATACGACAAGTGGCATTTAGAATTTGGCTCCTTTAGATAATTCCTTCTATAAGTGTAGACGAATTTCACGTCAATTGTACACTGCGAAAACGTGATACGCAATTGTCGAATCAATAAGCGGAATTTCTCGCAAACACGGAACAGTAGTAATTTTGTAACGTGTACTCGAGACTCAACGTGAGATTTTTATTGTAACTTATTTACATTACTCTGTATCAGCTATATTAAACGAATAAAAACCAACGTTACATTCTTAAATCAATGAGTGCAGTTATATTCATTCCGTAAAATAGAATTAATCACAAATGGTTTGGAATTTTCTGTTTTCGCAATACGTGCACACAAGCAGTTGGATCTTTTATGTCGATTTTTGTAGGGAATGCATGTAAAAACTGGCTAATAGTACAGACACGAACGAGTACATATTTTTGTATGTATTTACAAAATGTTCGGTTTTTTTATATATAAACATATATATATATATATATATATATATATATATATATATATATTTATATATAATATGTAATAATACAATGCATAATATGTAATTCGCGTTAAGTTCCGTTGAAAAATAAACGCCGTGTCTAACTATTAACAGTTCTTTGTCCTCGCCCAATTCAGTTTCGCTTGCTTCATACCATGATAGTAACCTATGTACAAAATCATAAAATTTGGATAAACCATCTTATCTTTCCCTTTTTCTAGAATATACATTATATTGATAAGTATATATAACTTTTTTATATTTATATAAATTTTTATATTTATATAAATTTATATTTATATAACTATAAAATTACCTGTGTGAAACCCACTTATATACCAAGACATTAACATACTAGACAATGCATCTGTATCGTTCTCAGGTAATCTGTAAATATATATTGTCAGTTCATATGATAACGTAAGCGCAACGTGATCTGCTAAATCAGTTTGAGGGATTAACAGTTTAGGAACTTTAGTTTGTCTATGATGAATCTTTGTAAAAATAAAATACAAGAATACAATTGTAAAAATAAAATACAAAAGTACTACGCCTACAAAAAATTACTTCAAGATAATAAGGAAATTTGGAGAAAGAAAAGTTTTTTCATATATACAGAAATTAAATAAGAGTTAATCGTTTTCAGGACGATGAAGCTGAAACCACTTGGGATGATACAGCCTTGATAGAAGCATATGACAAAGCTGTCAACTTGGCTAAGGAGGAAGTAACTAAACATATTGCTAAATTTGTTCTTACTTGGCCATTAATTGTGGCGGCAAAGGCGGCGGGGGTGGTATTCCATTAATTGACATATCGAAAGACAGCCCTGGCATGAAAGTACTTTTAAACAATGTGGGATCTTCCGTATCGCAATCCATTTTTTCGCCATTCATCTGTTTGTGATTTTGGGAATAATTGGACGCGTCTGAATCGCAAGTCTGTTCATTGACCTTCTCTGCAAGTGCATCCTTCTGTTGGGCGACCTGACTCTCCAACCCATTAGATTCAAGAAGAGAATCTAATTCTACTTTCTCGATATTGTCATATCCTACAAACATAAAACAGTTAATGTCATTTATGTGCCATGTAGACAGTTACTGCATTGATACATGCGATTTTGTTCCATTATATATTATTATTGTCATTCCATTATTGTCATTTTAATTTATATTTTACTAGAAAAATCAAATTACTTTATTAAATATCAAAGTATTTTATTGATAGAAAAAGTAAATAAAATAGTATCAATATAGCCAAAGATATTTACCAATAAATTTCACTGTGCATATGCCAGAATTTTCATAAACCTTTATTATAATAGCTTCATAAATTTCTCCATCTGCTGAATATGCTGCACGACATGGTGCACCGACAGTCCATTTCTGCCAATTATAGGAGAAAATAAAATTTAGTATTATCTTTTGAAGTATATGAAAATATGGAATTATATAATATGAGAACACAATGATATAAAAAATATTAAAATACATGATGATCAATGAAAGTTTAATGATGTACTATACTTTGAAAGGCTTCTTTGCTTGATTTAGATGCTTAGAATTTTGAGACTTCTGTTTTAACTGCCGACCTTGAGGATCTTTAGCAATGCGTTTAGCTACTTCCTCCTTAACCACGTTGACAGCTTTGTCATATGCTTTTATCAAGGCTGTATCATCCCAAGTGGTTTCAGCTTCATCATCCTGAAAACAATTAACTCATTTAATTTCTGTATATTTGAAAAAAATTTTCCCTAACTTCTACCTCCAAATTTTCTTATTATCTTGAAGTAATTTTTTGTAGGCATAGTACTTTTGTATTTTATTTTTACAATTGTATTCTTGTATTTTATTCTTGTATTTTATTTTTATTTTATTCTTGTATTTTATTCTTATTTTATTCTTGTATTTTATTTTTATCTTATTCTTGTATTTTATTTTTACAAAGTTAAAGATTCATCACAGACAAGCTAAAGTTCCTAAATTGTTAATCCCTTAAACTAAGAAATTAATTAACCTGTACTTATAATTGCATCTGTACATTTGTCAATTAAAATCAAATAAATATCCAGGGTTGCATTCCAAAACATTCTTTTTAAGGAAAATTTTACTCAATAACTATAGTTCACGTTACATATACTATAGAGTATAGAGTAAAATTTCCTCAAAAAGGACGTTTTGGAACGCAACCCTAAATGTTCTTTTTGTGGAAAATTTTACTCAATAACTATAGTTCACGTTACATATACTATAGAGTATAGAGTAAAATTTCCTCAAAAAGGACGTTTTGGAACGCAACCCTAAATGTTCTTTTTGTGGAAAATTTTACTCAATACCTACAGTTCACGTTACATAAACTATAGTTTCGAATTATAAAATTTCCTCAAAAAGGATGTTTTGGAACGCAACCCAGATTAGGAAGGAGAGAGAAGAAAAAAACACAAAACACGTTGAAAGGATAATCAACAGAAATGTAATGCTTAGGGAATAAAACTGTTGAAATGCGATTATAACCTCTCTACTATATTTTATATATAAAAATGCTTACGTACTCCATTTCCTCTGACGAATAGTAAATTACTACTTTCAGACATTTTGGCGAGAAATTATTTAAACACTAGTTAAATTCTTATTTTTGAAGAGCAAATTTGTTTTATAGTCTTCAATCGTCTTCAATCGTCTTCAACATACACTTCAATTCTACGACAAGTTCATTGTTTGAGATGCTTTGCTTGCTTGAAATCGAAGCATAGATAACAGTGGCGACTCGTAGCGGAGATATCGAAACTAAATGATCACGTGCCTCATCAATAGCAGAGAGAAGTCTGTGCAGGATTCACTCTGCGTCCGATGTCCGACGTACGATATCCAATAGGAGAACAGCTTTCTAATAGAGAATTCAACTTTCCATTGGAAAGCTGTTCTCCTATTGGATATCGGACGTTGTACGTCGGACATTGGACGCGGTGTGAATCCTGCATGAGGCTGATATTTCACATGTTGTACGACAAGCTTTTTAGATACATTTTGATTCATTGGTTGACGAACAGAGAACCTAGAAATACTCTATTCGCCAATCAATAAACGTATCCGAAAAGCTTGTTGTACGACACGTGAAATAGCACCCTGAGAGCGGCCACCAGCCTGATATTAGCGGCCAAAGCTATGCGCATTTTCGAGACGCCATCTAACAAAGTGCGTCTTTACTACGTTCCTTAGACGCATTTTCGCGGTGGTAACGATAAAATGCGCCTGGTTCGTGTACTTCCGTACACTCATAGCGTGTTCGACTGGCCTGGGTTAATCGCTCCGAGAGCGATTAATGACGTCATAAGTCTCTACAAGCCAAAGCATAAAGCTTATAAGTACTTGTTCGACCAATAAACGTAGGCTGAATAACCCAGAGCCAGTCGAACATGCTATCAGTTGCATTGATGCTATACAATGACTGCGTTCGTTTTGCCGCTTACAACGCTCTGAGCATTATTTCATCCTTGTTTCTATTAAATACTAAACAAGGATAAATGATGCTTACACGCGTTATAAGCGCCAAAACGAACGCAGCCAATGACGTATATATATAGATTAAGCATTCTGTCCGCAAAGTGAAGCCGGAAGTTGGCAGTTTAAAACAGAGTGATTTGCCCCTAGTGCTTTCTCACTCTATATTGGGTGTTTTCCATTTAATAACACAAGTCGACACAAGTATCATTCTGTCTTTGTTCCATATTCAATGAGTAATTAAGATCTCGGTTGGAACAAGAAAGATAGTATAAGTTTACTCTTGGTCCGATAGACTGTTTGTCAAAAAACTTTTTTTTAATTTTTCGAGCTTATAATTAAACTTATTGATTTGTGCTTTTGGAACAATGTTTGGAACAACTAGAATAATCTATATCGGTATCAAAATGCTTTATTTTCAAAAAATGGGGTGCCAGATCAAAAACATTTTTTTCATTTTTTGGACTTATAATTCAACTTACGGATTTGTCCTTTTGGAACAATGTTTGGAACAACTAGAATAATCTATATCGGTATCAAAATGCTTTATTTTCAAAAAATGGGGTGCCAGATCAAAAACATTTTTTTCATTTTTTGGACTTATAATTCAACTTACGGATTTGTCCTTTTGGAACAATGTTTGGAACAACTAGAATAATCTATATCGGTATCAAAATGCTTTATTTTCAAAAAATGGGGTGCCAGATCAAAAACATTTTTTTCATTTTTTGGACTTATAATTCAACTTACGGATTTGTCCTTTTGGAACAATGTTTGGAACAACTAGAACAATCTATTGCGGTATCAGAATGTTCGATTTTCGAAAAGTAGGGTGCCAGTTCAAAAAATCATTTTTTTTTATTTGAAAACCGTTTCGAATGAAGCAATATCACTTTGGAACAATGTGGTACAAAGTCAGAACAATCTGGAACAACTTTCAAAATTATAAATTTCAAAAAGTGGGGTGCCAACTTCATACACTCACCGCTATGCCGGTCTTCGACGTCAAAATCATCGTTTTTGAAGCGTTGAAACCACTCACGACGTTCTTTCACTAATAGCGGCCTCACCATAAGTATTTGAGAGCATTCGGTGAGCCTCAGCCGCAGATTTCTTCATATTGAAGCAGAAAATTAAAACCTCCCGCAAATGACGAGAATTTGGCTCGTAAACTGACATTTTCAATCGAGAATAACTTTATGATGCAGACACAAATCGACTAATGTTTCTATGGGGTTATGTTGACAGATGCCCAAGTTTATTGTATGACGTCTATGATCTATTTATTTCGACCACCACTTACCGCTAAAGCCATCTATAGGAAAATGGCGGAAGCAAAGTTGTACACCTAATATATAGCACTTGACAGCTTGACAGCGGCCATATATTTTTTATACGATAGAATGAGAAAGCACTAGGGACAAATTATAGACATATATACTAGACTGCGCGGTCAGTACAGAGGAGTGAAGCGCACACCAAAAGGACAGATACTAGGTGCGCAACTAAGTTTCCGGGTTTTTTTGATCAATGAAAAATGGAAAATTTCAAAAGAAATACAAAAAATGGTTTATTCAAAGTATCGTCCCTCGCTAGCTACACATTTTTGTCATCTCTCTGGCAATACATGAATACCGCGACGATAAAACGACACGTCTTTGGACCGAAACCATTCATCCAACCAATTTTGCATTTCTTCAAAATTGGCCAAGTGTAGCCCAGCCAAGCCATGCGCCATCGACCGGAACAAGTGATAATCGGAAGGGGTCAGGTCTGGTGAATACGGCGGATGCGGTAGCAGATCCCATTTTAGCGTTTTGATGGTGTCCTGGACGATGGAAGTGCGATGGCACGGAGCGTTGTCGTGCTGCAATATCACTCGTTCGTGTTTCGTGTCCCATTCTGGCCGTTTTTCGAGCAATGCATAGTTCAAATTGATCAGTTGTTGTCAATAGCGATGCCCATTGACAGTTTCGCCCGGTTCCAGCAGTTCATAGTACACGATTCCTTTCTGGTCCCACGCAGAGGATTGTCTTCTTTCCGAAGCGATTTGGCCGTGCCAACGATGTTGATGCTTCGCCAGGTGAAAGGCACGATTTTTGCGTTTGGGATTCTCGAAATATATCCACTTCTCATCGCCAGTAACAATTCGATGCAGGAAACTCTTTCTTTCATGCCGCAAAAGCAAAATTTCGGAAGTGGCTCTTCGATTTTCCATCTGTCTCTCAGTCAACTCATGCGGCACCCATTTTCCTTCCTTTTGAATTTTTCCCGTGGCATGTAAACGTCTGGAAATATCTTGGCGAGTCATGTTTAATGCCTCCGCAAGTTGATTTTGTGTTTGCGTATCATCTTCATCCAATAACGCTTGCAGATCGGCGTCCTTAATTGTTTTTGGTCTTCCGGAGCGCTCCTTGTCCTTAGTGTCGAAATCGCCACTTCTGAAGCGTTTAAACCAATCTTCACAGGTAGTTTTCGATAGTGCATGTTCGTCGTAGGCCTTCTCAAACGACGTGCTTCAGCTGCATTTTTTTTTTAAATTAAAGCAGAAAAGCAAAGCTTCCCGCAAATGCTGTTTATTTGGCACAAAACTCGACATCTTCATTGTTAGAAAAAATATTTTTGCATTGTGATATGTGTTGGTATTATGACTGGTTATTGTTGACAGATGTCCAAGCTATAAAAGAAACACAACTTTAGACATATATGTCGACTACATGTGTCGTTAGCGCCATCCATGTGTGAAACCCGGAAACTTAGAATAAGACGAGATCATGATTAAAAAAATTGTCGTAACTTGTATTGTTTTCCTATGTGTAATAGTAATAATTAAGTAATAACCGAAAAAATTAAATAATAATCGAAAAGAGAAATAATAATACTCGAATATTAAATGCCAGTGATAATAATATCTGTTCGACAATCGTATGATAACATCCGCGAGTGGATAATAACGAAATAATGATGATCGAATAATCGGTAATAACAATATCTGGGCAACGGCTTTAACAAAAACTCTAGGCTCCATAAAGGCTAGGCAAACAGACTGTCGTAACGGCTCGCTCGTGCAGTTGACTGAGCGGCGCTTGGGGTGCGTTCAGATTCCTCATCCGGGTGCACTCTATTACTAGAAACACTATAGTATATGTGACATATACTATAGCACTTCTAGTAATAGAATACACCCGGGTGGGGAATCTGAACGCAGCCTTGGGGGGCCGTGCGGTCGGGTCATGTAAACACGCGTGCGCGAGCACGCCATATCATTCTCAACCTCATGACGCGAAGCGTTATGCCATACCACTCTTAATTGTCGAGACGAGCACATCGCGTTATTTTCTAAATTATTTCGTGCCGATTTTTAATACCGCGTTTCGACTTCGCGACAATTGAAGCGATAATTAAGACAAATTAAGTCGAGTACTCCTCACGCGAGTAGGTGTTGTGGGCTTTACCGCATTTCATTTACTTTTTTACTTGTTAGAGAAATGTCACGATCGAGTTGCTCAATGCCGATCAAATATTATCATCATTTATTTATTATTCGAGTATTATTATTTTTTTATTCAGTTGCTATTTAATTATTTTTATTGCGTATTTTGAAACAACTTGAGCGTTACGACAATTTCCTTACCTCGTCTTGCTATCGTGTATAATTCATTACTACTACTACTGGATATTATTATACGGTTGTCGATCATATATTAATATCATCATCCATTAATTAATCGGGTATTATTACTTCTTTATTCAGCTATGATTTAATTATTTCTTTTTGCGCATTGGGGAGGAACTCGAGCGTGCCGTTACGACAATTTCGTTTCCTCGTTTTGCTGTCGCGTGTAATTAATTGATACTAAATCATTAAATTACTAAATTAAATTAAATTTCTGTTACAGAGATCCAATAGAGCAGATGCAATCACGCGGCTCTAGGGGATGCAATGCCTGGGGGATGCCGCGCCGGAGGATCTAGCTCGCGCCAAGCAGCTCGAAGGTTAGCTTCACTAATTAGCATTTGTAATTAGAAATCCAATAAGGTTGATAATTTTTTTGCTTGAAATCGAGATATTTTGAATCGAGTCAAAGATCGTGTTAAATCGTAATTACACACAAGGAGAATTTTTTCTGAGTAACATCACCACTTGAAAAATATTGATTTGTTCTAATTAAGAAAATTTTTTGAAACATCAAGAAAAAGGGAAATACAATATTCTAAGTGTAAATGCATTCCAAAAAAATCTCATA